TAGCAGCGCTACGCCGTAGCCAAGTCTTTGGCTCTTTATTTATTAGATTTATTACATCACGGAATATTATCTTATCAACATTTTAAAAAGAATCAGCTTTATTTATACGCCAGTTAACGCATAAATCTGCGAACACTTAAAATAACCAGAACTATTTTACTAACTAAACAAAAATAAATTACAAACCTTAAAAATTAAAACAAGTTTCAGAAAGCACAAACTCAACTTGAAACCAGTTAATCAGAAAAAATTACGATAGTTTACTTCACTAAAATATTTAAAGAACGTTTCACTAGCTTGCATTAATAGAAATTCAATAAAAAAATAAGGTGATAGTTATCGGATATTATCTCACATTTCATGTTTTAGTCTTAAAACAACAAACAACAACATTTAAATATGTTTAAGATTTTATCTTCTTCACCTTAACAATTAAAATAAGACTACCACTGTGATCCTTTACTTATATTTACTCATTATAATGATTCATCTAAGAGAATTACTAGTACCAACTTGATGAGTGTTCAATTTAAGAAAATAACGTAAGAAGCTTGCGGGTAGAGCTGGGGAATGAATTTTTCTATTCAAGTCTACTTTATGTCTCAAAATGTAATAGGCGCAGAATAGGGAGGGACCGATGTACAAATACGCTGTATCAGTGCCTTAACAACAGCTCTACTGATAAATAACAACTATAAATAACGAGATCTAAAATAAAAATTACAGTAAACGCCTGTTACGTCCCAGCGCCCGGCAGAGCTTACTCTGTGCAGTGTGTATTAGGTTACAGTCCACCACACGACCCCACTACCGATTGGCAGACTTGGCACATGTCTACGAAATATATTTTTGTTATGATTTCGAAAATATGCAGGTTTCCTCAAGATGATTTTGTTCATAGCTGAGCAGGTTTTAAATCAGAACTTAAAATTACCAATTTAATTGGTCCGGCACCGGGAATCGAACTCAGGTAGGAGTATTTTACGTTAAAAGCGAGCGTTCGGACACTGAGATATCACGGCTCTAATGACCGTAGCTCATACTACTCCTCCCATAATATAAACAACAGAGCAATGTCATTTTTTATAGATATTATGATATTTTATACTACGACCCGAATGTCGTAGTGGGTAGTGTACCTGCCTCTTGCGCCTGAGGGTGTGGGTTCGATCCCCACTACTGGAAAAATATTGTGTGATGAACATAATGTTTCTCTAATGTCTGGGTGTTAACATATGTGTAATATGCATTTATTTACAAAAGAAAAGTATGTTTTGGTATGTTCATCAGTTTTCTAGTACCTATAGTACAAGCGTTGCTTAGTTTGGGACTGGAGAACGTTGTGTACAAAATGTGTCCTAAAATATTTATTTATTAATGTATTACTTTCTTAATTTGTCAGTCGCTATGATCATCGCCGAAAAGTTGAAAGCGATTTTTAATGGTAAAAATATAACGAAGTTCCGTAACCGTACATCGACGGTACCTGCGATAGGTCGCGGCTGAAACTCTCAGCTGCTGAACCATGCGTCTTACATAATAATATTAATGTTATGAATATTACGTTAAATTGATTATGCATTTCTCTGATCTAACACCAATGAGAGCTCGAAAGTTGTCTACTTTGAAACGATGAATAAATTTAAATAATTACCACATCCAACATCTCTGTTATGTCGTGTTTAGAAATTTTTAGCAGCAAACGAGCGATCTTTAGTCTATATCAAATCTTTCAACAAAGCCAGTCATTGATGTTTACTCAGTTATCAAAATTTTATAATGATCAATCATCTTAGAATTTTTTTTTATTTATTTGATATTAATTTTTTTATATGACATCTCTCGTACGAATTATCGTTGTAAAACGATATTCGAAATTGTTTGTATGCTGGAATGGATATAACAATGGATGCGCCAAGCATTGCTTCAAATGGTAAAAAACAATGTAGACAAAAGACGTTAAGATTATCGTCGGTGTGGCAATCAGCCGTTTCTCTTAGCGGCTAAAGCGTCAGGCCGCGAATGCCGAAGACGTGGGTTCGATTCCCACAGCGGCGACAGTCTTTTCTTACTTTTTCTATATATTTTAAAGATCAATCATCTTTGTTTTTTTAAGCGAAAAGTTGCCAAACGAGCAGACGGGTACCTGATATTAAGTGAATACCGCCGCCCATGGACATCTGCTACACTGAGGGTTACAGATGCGTTGACAACCTTTTGAAAATTTGGCTCCGGCTACCTCACTCACCAGACGAAACGCGAAAGTATTTGTCGTACTTCCACTTTACGCTGGTCTTCTGTGAGGTCATGGTACTTACCCGGACGGGCCTGCCCATTCGTGCAACAGCCGAGGCTGCAGCGTGGCCCTACCACCGTAGGAATCTTATTCTTCTGTATCTGGCATCTTATTGAAATCGGCGATTTTAAGTTACCCGTCAATATAAACTGATTAATCATTACACCAAGTAGTACGTATGGTTATATACACCTCATATTTACCTCATATTTATTTATTTATTTAACTCTATTTTGTACGAGCTGGTACCAACGGCGCGTGCCATGCTTTCCCAATGAAGCAATATCATTCACCGTCCTCGATCGAGAAAGAAGAGTTCGAGAAATACGATGTTTTTACATATTTTCTCATTACGCAACTGCAATTGAAATGAAAGCCCTTTAGCGACCAAGGCTGTCGCAACTAACCGGCGCGGTGGTTACTCTTGTGTATTTGTTTTAGAAAAAGACCAAGTGTGACTACGCACGTAGGGTTCCGTACCATTATCTAATAAAACGGCAAAGAAATCATTATTGTATGGGACACCGCTTAATTTTTTTATTGACATTTTTAGTATTTGTTGTTAGAGCGACAACAGAAATACATCACCTGTGCAAATTTTAACTACCTATCGCGTTTCATGAGATACAGCCTGGTGAGACAATAACACACAGACAGACAGACAGCGGAGTCTTAGTAATAGGGTCCCGTTATACCCGTACCCGAGTACGGAACCCTACAACACATTTGTTCTCGTTCCGTCATTGCGGCATGCAGTCACTCCGTTCAGATTACCATAATCTCAGTAACGACGCGTCCCGCCCTCATAAGTATGCGCGGGACCTGAAAAGAATTCTTAAACAGCGACCGAGGGTTCAAGGAATACGGCACATTTTCCTTCGTACTTGCAGCGCGACGTCTAAATAAATATAAAGGTTACTAATAATAATAGAATAAACATGTGCTATCGAATATATTAGCGTACACCTTGCTTTTTACGGTGGTAGGGCCACGCAGCAGCCTCGGCTGTTGCACGAATGGGCAGGCCCGTCCGGGTAAGTACCACGACCTCATAGAAGACCAGCGTAAAGTGGAAGTATGACAAATACTTTCGCGTTTCGTCTGGTGACGGAGGTAGCCGGAGCCCAATTTTCAAAAGGTTGCCAACGCATCTGTGCCCATGGACATTTGCCACACCCGAGGGCGTGGCAAATGTCCATGGGCGGCGGTATTCACTTAAAATCAGGTGGACCGTCCGCTCGTTTGACAACTTTTCGCATAAAAAAAACCTTGCTAAGATTTCAGTTTGAACTTTATAACAAAATGGAACACAGATAAAAAAACTAAACACCTATATATAAAGTTGCACTCAGTCAAATCAGATCTCATAGGTATATATTTATATACTCGTATTGTGTCGAGGATATGTTATAGTTTTTGTTAATAATTTTTTTTTATTTTATTGTAATTAACTTTTTATATTAGTTAACTTTTTATATTCCTTTTTTATTGTTTTTATTTTATTTCAATGTTATTTTTGTTGGCTGTATGCATGGTGCTGAACGCCAATATTACAAGGTATCCGCAGAAAACCAGTGCCGTTGTATTGTCTGCCAGGGCTGTATACTGAGCGGAGACCTTTTTGGTGCATACATTTTTACAATTCTAATGCTATTTCTTTTTTTTTTCCCTATAATGTAATGCGCCGAATAAATATTTCTTTCTTTCTTTCTTTCTTTCCTAACTAGTGCTAAATGAAAACGGCGTAGATCGACACAAAAATTAATAATTCAAAAACTGCCGGTAGCCCGGATTAACAATGGCACTCTGACGTCCCACGCCTCAGTATCTCCCGTGGCCATGAACGCTATAAGGGTTCTAAACGTCGGGAATTAAAACAAAAATAAACGCGATAAATCCGTAAATATACTTTCATTTAGTAATGGGTAATCGCGTAAATACAAGAAATTATTACTTAGCTACTGTCTCAACAGTGTCTATGATATCTATACAAATAAATAAAATTGGAGTGTCTGTTTTAAAATAACCGCTTTTTTATAAAGTCATAGATAAATTTATCCGTTTAAATAACATAAGACTATAATTTCTTGCATTTTCCCCCTACTGTATTGTTGTCTTAATTATGTGTTCTATGTATTCTCCTTAACATTTAGCTGTTCTAATTTATTATATCAAATTATTCATACACTAATCCATTGTTTGTCCTTTGTTCAGGTAACTCAACTGGATGCGTGTAATAGTCTACCTACAGTACAATGGCCAATATTACCGGCTAATCTCATTCTTTACTAACTGTTTTATTCAACATTGACATTGGCAGAATCATCAAGTTATTCCCTGATGGAGCCATTATACTAAAATTTGAATTGAATTGAACCGCTTTTTACTAAATGCATATAATGCATACACGGTGCATATAAAAAAATAACATTTTTTACAATTATTGTCTGTCTGTCTGTCTGTTTGTTCCGGATAATCTCTGAAAAGGCTGGACCAATTTGGACGGGACTTTAACTGACAGATAGCTGATGTAATAAGGAGTAACTTAGGCTACTTTTATTTTAGAATTTTTTTTATTTTAAATTCCACGCGGACGAGGTCGCGGGCACAGCTAGTTGTAAATAAGAATATTATGTTTTCCTATAAATTAAAGTCTGATGTAACTGTATGGTATTTGTTTTGTATGTCAGATATATTTTTCTTATGTGAGGAAGTCGTAAGCGAGCTGGCGGTTCTCATATTGCAACACCGTAGGGTTGCAGATGCGTTGCCACAGCGCAACAGCGATGACTGCGTAGCCGTACCACAAAGGCCACCTATCATGTTAATAAAGAGAAATTACTCATCATTGCCATACGCGTATTTAGCCGATCGAGTGCCAGACGAGTGGGGAAGGCAGTTCTTAGCGCGCGTAAATAATTTGGCCCACCACCAACATTGTGTCACATAATCTAAACATGGCGCTCACAAGAAGCGGTCGGTTCCAAAATATGCAGCCTTGATATTTTCCTTCGAATCTTCGTTTTACAACGAACCATACAAATAAATAAGAACTTGCTGTTCAATATTTACTATTGTTAGTGATTTTTTTTTTTTTGTAAAATAAAACAATTATGTGCAATCGATGCAGTCTCGAGATACGTTACGTCAATTGCATGCCACTCGCCTCGCGTATCCCGCTCGCTACGATATCCTTATCGGAGACCTTTCCGTAAAACACCTTGGAGTAGTGTACCACGCTCAAGTTATTTATTGCAAACTTTTCGCATTGACATATCGACTGCACTACATCAGCCTGCATGATTTAGCGTTTTGGAGGTCGAACAAGACATACAAAATTCGTATACATAAAATTGTTAGTTTTTACGACTTAATTAATGAGTTGAATAAACATTAGTGCAGTGTGTGTAATGACACAGACACACCATCTGGCCTACTGTCCTACTTTCGGAGGATACGAATTTTATCGATAAACTAGTAAACTAGTTATGTGAGCCGGGCCAAAATCTAACACGCATTGTGTCTTATTATACAACATATAAGAGCTCTTAGAAACTCTACTATATTTACATGGGCATCTGTAGAGTATAAAATTTTCCACCGTCCATTATCCAGGAAAAAATACTCGACGGTCGTGTGAAAAACATAACACACTCATGTTTTCGTGAACGTAGACAAATAACGGATAACAAATTGGCGGGAAACGCGCGGAGAAATCGAATTTGCAACTGTCAAAATGCAGAAATAGCGACGCAGTGTTACACTGGCGCGCTTATTTTTATACCCGAGTGACCTCAGTTCATGAATGTAGTGCCAATGTCATCGTATCTGGGTCTATGTCAGGCGACCGCGCGCGGCCTCAGCGCAACTAGCGCTGCCCGGCTGCGTCGAGCATTTCGCGGCCTTATATGGCCGTTTCGGCGCGTATCTTTTTTTTTTTTAATTTTCGGTGGACAATTACATCACGCCCGCAATGCCGAATATTCGTTGATACGTGACAGATAGCGCCGACAATGGCGCACACGCTGAGGCTTTATGCTCAAATGTCTATTACTGTTCGATTCGTTTTCGTCGCACACCACGAAGTTTTGGGTCAGGGCCGCCAGATAATTGCGAACGAAAAAGGCTAAAAGCGTTAGTAATACAAACGCTTTAATGTAATCTGCATCGAATATCTAAATTTAAACAATGTTTTATTATTTAATAATACGTAATTCCACTTAATGTGTTTATGAGCCACGATTTTGAAGAAAAACAAAAACCCGACTCATTGTTTCATTCAATTAATTCCAAAGTCATCCATCAAGGTTGCGTACCGTCGAGTCGAATATAAAAGGTGATAAAATCACTACTACGTATGAAGATCATAATTTTTTCAAGAATAATGCCGGTCAAATGAAACTACTTACCTTTTGCCTATCAAGCGATGCAGTGTTGCTGTATTGCTGGAATATAAATATGTAAATAGAAGAAATAATCGTTAATTAGTATGTACTCAACAATCACAAGCAAAAAAATTATATTACTGAAATCAAAGTTAAAAAATAATACTATGTTATTGTTTTAACGATTGTCTAAATTAAAAATGCTCGATACTAACATACATAATAACGATTCATATTGAAAATATTTGATACAAGTTGCGCCTACACGGAGGCGCCCAGCACTAGTCTTATGACAGCGGCCATGAGCGTAACCTTGCTAGCTCTCTCCCGCTCTGGCGCGCGCGCTCGTCTATCTCCGTCCCGCTCCAATTGAATGTAGCCGGTGTCACTACCGGATTCCGGGCGATTTAAACAACAGATGACTAAAGAAATTAAAAACCACTGCTCAATGCTGCTTATTCTTGGTATTATCCATCCCTACAAATAGTTTCACACGTTTAAGTATTTCATATCAATTTATCGTTTTATGAATTACTAGCATTCCCCCCGCGGCTTCACCCGCGTTGATGCCCTTAAATAAAATATTTTTTTCGATTTTTTTTTTTAAATTGAGTCCTATGTCCTTTTTAATAAATGTGTACAAAGTTTCATGGTAATCGATTGAGTAGTTTTGGCGTGAAAGCGTAACAAACAAACTTACATTCACATTTATAAAATTATAAAGAAGGGATATTAATAGTTTTCGCCTGTGTATAATCAAATTCCGATGAATAATTCAAGCTTCGTTTGTTCTTGCTCTATTGCGTTTCACAAACTTTGAACTTCGCACTTGTTACACTTATTTTATACGACAATTGATACGTAATATTACGAATTATGACGCGGCAGAAGCGATTGGGCTAACATCGAATGTGGGACAGATTGTGAAACGATCCGCGTCGTCAGCGCTAACCAACCTATTGTTCGAAACGCTAAAACTGTGCAAATGCACAATTGCAAATCAACTGGTGAGTTTCGCAATAGCAACGCCCTAAATTGTATCGAGTCCACGCGAATCGTCTGCGCAGCAGCAAAGACAAAACAATGACGCCCCATATGTCAAACATTTGAAGTCTGTCTTTTACTAATCAAAGCGTAATAGATGTCGCAGTTTTGTATTGTATTTTAATACTAGCAACCCGCCCGGGATTCAAACGGGTGCAATGTATTGTACATATAAACCTCCCCCTTGACTCACTCAATCTAATAAAAAAAACGCATCAAGATCTAAGCATACATAGAGACAGACAAACAGTGGGACGACTTTGTTTTACTATGTAGTGATATCGTATATTGCGAAAGTACGACAGAGCTTTGAAACAGTTAAGTAAACTTTCCATTGATTTCGCAAAGAACTAAACTCTATAAGCTATGAGACGCGGTATTTGTTAAATGGCACTAAATAGAACTTTTCATAAATACCATACCACGCTTGTCGTAATAAAATTTTAAAATGGCCTATGAAAATTCAATGCAAATAGAATGACTAATTAAGTGTGTAGTAATCAAACATTTAATTAATGCCCGCATATGTCAAACGTCTCCATTACGCAGTAAGTACATTGCGTTTTAAATAATGAATTTCCTCGCATCCATTAGTGGCTTGGCAACAAAGAAACGGACGTCTTCGATATTCGAAGTATCCACGATTAATGTCATTTCGTGGCGTAGTCGTTGCGGAATCGGAAAAGCATTACATTGTTCCCTCACTCTCTTCTATCGTTTATGTTAATGGCTGGGACCGCGAAGATTGAATTGAAATAAATTATACATAGTTTTAATTTACGCACCCGATTGTATTTTATAACAGGCACTCGAAAATAATCAGTGCAATCCGTCAAGGTCACGAAGCAGTAATTACCGCCAGTCATTCCGATATTTCAAAGTTCGATGATTTTTATCGATCCATTTTTATGCACGTTTACGACTATAGAACCATTACGAGCGAATAACGATTGGTCTGGTTGTGAAATTGACGCTTAATGAGTTTAGTATCTTAAATGCAAATTATAGGAGCCAAACTGGCGCTTTACGGTGGATGGGAACACGATAAAACGAAACGCACACCTTCGCGAGCGCCCTCTGTATAGTTTGGATCGCGAAACACCGTACGGTAATGCGGTACATTGAGCTTATGAAAATTTGCTTACACCTTATTCTAGTAGTTCTAATCGTTATGAGAAGCGCGCGGTTGGTAATTTCTTATGACCGCGCTTAGGAACCCCGTAACGAGCGTCTGCAGCGTCGGTGAGGACCTTGGAGCGGCTACCTGTACGCGCCGCGGCCCTCGAATCAATTTATTTAAACTTAACCTACTGATCATGACATACATTCGGCGATTACGGGCGCGCGTGTGTGTGCGTTCGCGCGCCGGCACGCCGGAACCGAGCACGAAATTCTCGGCGTCCCCTTTCGCGCCCGCCGCGCACTTTCGGCGCGAACGTTTTCGAATATGGGTCATAGTCACCTCGCGATAGGCCGCGTGACTTTTTAAACCGCGCCGCCCTCTGCTTCATAATCTGTGGTGGAATTTTTGGCGGGCTCCCGTCCGGTTGTCGGGTTATTTGACGCGGCCGAATACGCTGTTCGGATTGAAACGGAAAGCGTAGTGGCAACTGGTGACGCAAAGGTGTTTTTAAGCGTGCCCAATAAAAATAATAACGTTAAAATTGATTCGGCGAAGGCGGAAAGAGCGTACGCCAGATAGAAGCAAGGCCAGCCGTCAAGGTCTACGAAAACACAAGGCGATATAAACCTTATCGCGTTTAATGTAGGGGCGTTAATTGGGCACGCGGCCGAGTTGTAGTGCAAGACAATAAGTCGGCTGCTTTAAATGCAGCATTTTTCAGTAATAGGTAGAGATCAAGGCTGTGGAGCGATGGCGCGTCGACTGGTAGCTGCTTGATCGAAATACAATGTTATAACAATTAGAAAGACAACTATTGTGCACTGACTGAGAGTGCTTCATATATCTATACCTATCTCCGTCCAACGCATGTCCGATAAGCCTGTCAGCATTCTTAATGATGCGATACCGATAGAAACTCACAAAGACGTAACGAACGAAGAACGTTTCAGATTGTGCCAAATCAGATGATCAAGAGGTTTATTACTACTTACGTTAAACCTTTACACTCAAGTCGTGTAAGGATTCAAGATTTAATGTCAACCTTTCATTTAGCAGATCTAGTTTAAATAGCACGTATGTTTCTACAAATATCAAGTAGTAATTACTGTACACAAACCAGATGTGTACTAGCGTTTAAGAAAAACACAACATGTCTACAAGTATTCATGTTTCTTATTAAATTAATTATTTAAAATTTAGTAATCTTGGTGTCAAGTAAAATTTTATAACTATCTATAATAACGTAACTTTCCAACAGCAAAAGAATTCTACAAACACTCTCTCTTTCCTATGTTAGTGGAGATATTATTAATGGCCTTATAGTAATCAATTATTTTTACGGACAGTTATTCCCGCGCGACACGTCACAGCCAATCACAAGTTAACAGTTAAGTACAGAACCACAGACATTAAAAAACAAAGTGCAGACCTTTAAAATTATTATGCTTTTAAATTCGTGTTAAGGCTGAGGAAGGATTCGGTCGATTTTAGATTCGTATAATTACACTCATTACTGAAATGAGATTCATTCGCGGGTGGCTCCTAAAGTTGGGCAAATAAAATATAGGTAGTTCGATTAAGTGGGTCACGGTTTTTCGGAAAATTTTCGAATTTGCTGTTCGTTATAGAAAAGGTTCTCTTTTATTGTTACACGTCCTGCTATAGTTATAGTTATATAGATTACAAGATCGATTTTTGGCTCTATTTCTAACCATCATCTGTGTAAAACACAGCGTGGGTTAATTTTTTATTTGCCTTCCATTCTCGTAACTTGTTGAGCCTACGTAAAGCTTACGATTCTCAAGGTGTCAGACGCAAATTTATATAAAAAATGAATTTGTTCCTCCCACTACGCAGTACTAGTCATTAAATACTGTGCGGGGATCCGAGGCAGGTCCACAGTTGTGGATCAGCGGACCCGCGGTGGATTTGACAGTAGCACAGACCACAGATGAGGAACACCAAACTCCAACGGAGCGTCGGCGAGGAAGTCGGCGCTATCGGGGGCATCTACGCGCCGGCGGGAAGCGGGGCGCTCTATCAAAGTGGGCCAAGGTCACCGTAGTAGGTGACGCAGGGCCAGCGATTCGCGACCCGCGCGATAGCACGCCCGGGCCCGCCCCCGTGGGGGCCGCGACTGGGCGCGGGCGGCGGGGGGGCTCATGATAGGCCGGTCGCCGGAGCGAGGAGCGCCGAAAACCCGCCGAAGGTTGCGAGCGGCGACAATTTGGCGATGAAATTAACATCGCAGTATTTCATTTGTTTATCGGGATATAGAACGCAGGAGCTGCATTTCTGTGTATGAGATTATGAATACTTTATTGTGCACCACACATAGAAGGGTGGACAAAATTAAAAATAGACATACAAATTAATGGAATGCACAATTTGGCGGCCTTATCGCTTCATAGCGATCTCTTCCAGGCAACCAATGGCGTAAAGGGACGTTTACTACGTAGGTGGTTCAATAGTAACATACATAGTATATGACTAAATCAAATGCATACAAAATGCATACATACACATTCATAAAAATTTATTGTATGTGTCTGTGTATGTATTGTTATCTTTTTTTACGGTTCCGTAGCCAAAAGGTAAACCAAGACCCTATTACTAATACTCAGCTGTCTGCTGTCCGTCTATCACCAGGCTGTTTCTCATGATCCATGATAGTTAGTTGAAATTTTCACAGATTATGTATTTCTTTTGCTATAACAACGAATACTAAAAAAATATTTAAGTGTGGCTCCCATACATGACAAGATTTTTTGCCGTGCACGGAAAGTTCGACTCGCTCTTGGCCGCTTTTTTCTACTTTCCTTTACTGTAGCGGTTGTAAATATCTTGTCAACAACAAAAACTGTTTACGATAAATGCCTCTAAAACCTCCGTTGGGAACTATTTAATGTACTAGACCGGTTTGCAATATGTCCAAACGTCACACGTAGGCCTGACGTCAGATTTATTAAAATAAGTTACATTTCCATCGACCACTTGACGATTACTAATGACAATGATTCACACGATAAGTCTCAAGTCCATTAATTTGGCCGCATCATCAATATAAAGTAAGTAGATCACGTTTCGTATTAATTTAAATATATATATTTTAGCATTTGAACATTTTGAACTGTCTGTATAAAGAAAGAAGACCACGACGACAGCGTTTTATGGAAATTACTTTGAACTTATCACGGGATATCGTTCTTATCTGTATTATCATTATTGATACAGATTAGTAATGAAATCAAGTTATGCGCTGCTGGGACTAGACAGTTTCTTTAGTAAGATCGCGAATTAGCAATCTGAGCACTGGATTTTCAAAGTCAAAATTTCTTTATTGAATTATTATCATGAGTTAATGTTGATTATTAGTCTAATTTTAATGAATTATGTCTTATATTAAATTCCAAAGTCAAAATAAGTGCAACATAAAACCAATATTGTAGTGTGTAATTTATTTACACACATATTTATACAATTTGCTGGTGGGATCGGTAATATTGAAATGGTGTATCTTTAATTTAAACATTTCATCGGTTCAATGTCATGTTAGAAAAGAATTGCATCTAAAATAGGTAAAACTCTGTTGTATAAATTACAGCTGACAATTTATCTAAACAAAAAAACGTGACATCGCGAAAAAATCCCTGCAACGATAAAAAACCAATCTATAATTATACTGCAAAAAAAATCATGTCTGTTCTATGGGAGCCCCTTTAAATATTTTTTTATTCTGTTTTTAGTATTTGTTGTTATAGCGGCAACAGAAAGTCATCATCTGTGAAAATTTCAACTGTCTAACTATCACGGTTCATGAGATGCATCCTGGTGGCAGATGGACGGACGGACGGACTGACGGACGGACGGACGGACGGTATATCTGTCTTTTTGTCTGAATGTTACGCCTTCAGCCTATTCTACGCAGACTTAGTCGCGGGCAGCAGCTAGTATATTATATAGAAAAATAACAAAGTATGTGCTTAAAGGTGTGATAGCTCAGTGTCCGGTTGCTTGTATGTAATGTAATTAAGCAGCCTGAGTTCGAATCTCGGTGCCACCAATGAAATTGAATTCAAGTGCTTACTTATGACGTGCTCAATGGTGAAGGAAGTAATTAATACCCTCTGTACAAATCAATCAATCAATCAATAAATCAATCAAAAATCTTTACTCGAATAGACGCTTGCGCGTTCTTATGAATTGTCAAATTTTACAAACATATACATATAGGTTCGTAAGTTACCACCGGAACGCAGTTTCTGTTGAGAAGAGACCGGCAAGAAACTCAACAGTTGAGTCAAAGTCAAAGGAGGTGTTTACCCATTAGTAGGACATATAGGCTGTTACTTTATTTTACTTTACTACAATGTTTATAGGAAATGTCATATGTCACCACTAATCCATACTATAATATTATAAATGCGAAATTAACTCTGTCTGTCTGTCTCGCTTTCAAGCCAAAAGTACTGAATCGATTTAAATGATATTTGGTACACAGATAGTCTAGAACCTAAGAGAGCACACAGTAGACTAGAAGAAGATATTTATTTAAGGGCTTCAACGCGAGCGAAGCCGCGGGCGAAAAGCAATTCCATATAAATAGCTGAAACCAAACCTTATGCCCTATATATTCTTCTTTATCGGACACCGAGCTAACTAGTCGTCAAAGGTCTTGAACGTTGTCTATCGTTTTCTTCGGTATTTTGCATTACCATAACTCTCTGTTTAAGAAGTCCAGTCCTGTGCCAGTGTTCTGAAGAGAATGTTGTCTTCCTATTACTATTGGATGGGAAATGTTAATACATATTTAGCACCACTACTTGACTGTCTGAGCTAGTCTCATAGCACGATACTTATTAAACTTTGGATTGTTAATTCCAGTCTCTAATGACTATCTGCATCTTCTTGCTATGATGTCATAAAAATTTTGTAAAACTACCCGCCACCCTTATGGAAAGGGCGTATTATAATCTCGAAGATTATATTGAGGGCAAGTATGTGTGGAAATTACTCTTACTGTGCACTTTCAAGTCCCCTGGCTGCTTGCTGATTTTATACCTAATAATCTATATCTACACTAATATTATAAATGCGAAAGTAACTCTGTCTGTCTGTCTCGCTTTCACGCCAAAACTACTGAACCAATTTAAATGAAATTGGGTACACAGATAGTCTAGAGCCTGAAAAAGGAGAAAGGCTGTTTTTTTTTACTTGGAAAAAAGTATTGTAAAGGGTTGAAAATATCTTTCTTTAAAATATATAGGTATATAGTTTTTAAAGAAAGATATTTATTTTAAGGACCTCAACGCGGGCGAAGCCGCGGGCGAAACGCTAGTTCTATATACTTGATTCATAAAAATAAATGGATAACAAGACCGCAGACTTCCTTGATGGTTCTTCTCTTAACTGGTCTATTTCAGTGGACCAGTGGTAGTCGCTTATTTTTCACGTTCAATAAGAACCGGTCCCAGCCGATAAATGACCAAAACAATAAATAAAAACTCACTATAGACTGAATTGAATACCATAATTGGTGTACACTTCTACGGATTGCTTAAAACAAGCGCTCGCGAAATAATCTTATAATATTGATCATTTTTGGAAAGGCCTATCATAATGTCGAAAACTAAAGTCTATATGTGATAAATACTCTTCAGACCTTTGGTGGTCTGAAGGAAGGAAGAGTTACCCTACGTTAAAAAAAATCTATTATATAATAATTTATAGATTTTTTTAACGTAAGAACAACACTTTTTTACAACCGTAGTGTTGCAGATGCGTTGCCACCTTTTAATAAAGTGGGCCCCGGCTACCTCACTCACTTGGTGAAACGCGGAAGAATAACACTTAACTTTCACGTGCAACAGCGAAAACTGTTGCGTGGCCCCACCACAATTGAGCGCAAATAAGTTTACCTGTATACCTCAGTAGAAGTATTATACATATAAATGTAGCCAGGACTCACTTTTTTAGAAAACGGTTTTAAAAAACTACGGGTGTTGCAAATCCTGTAGGTGATAACCGCCGCCCGCTCGCATGGAACCTTCCCACATAAGCAAAAAAAACATGTTTTGATGTTAACAGACATTGGGGTTTATGAGCGCTTCAAATACGGCTTGACTAAAAGAAACCGACTCCTAATACTGTGCCAACATAACGAGTTAATGCGTGCTTTCAACGTCTTCCCCCGAAAGGGTAGAAAGGGTGAAAGGCCTGGAAACAAGTGATTTGCGCCCGCATATGTTTCTAAACGACAATAAAAACTTCGAGCGGTTAAAAAAGAAAGTCGCCTGACCATTTAGCTCCAGCGCCAACAATATTTATTGCCACCAATTTTACTCCGGCCCGTTAAAGCGCGGCAAGAATGCGCTAAAACAACGCGTGTTTTTTAACTGGCAACCCTTTCCGCGTGCGATTGTTTACCACGACATTGTAAACTAGCAACACGGCCGGGTAATATTGTTGTTTTATTATCTGTGGGGATGTCGCACTTGACTCGTGCTTTTGTTCGTACAATAGTTGAATTTAAAAAGATATTTCATGGTGATCACTTCGTCATTGCTTGTTAGGATATTTTACATCGCATTTCGCTGTGATTTTATATTTAATATTATCTATATTTATATATAAATAGCTTTTCGCTCGCGTTGAAGATCTTAAATAAATATCTTTCTTTTAAAAAAAACTCCAATAAAAATAGTAACCTATATCCTTTCACAGGCTCTAGACTATCTGTGTACCAAATTTCATTTAAATCTGTTCAGTAGTTTTGCCGTGAAAGCAAGACAGGCAGACAGTGTTACTTTCGCATTTATAATATTAGTATGGAAGTATGGATTTCGTGTCGAATTTGTTATGTTGCCTTGTTTGTCGGTGTTAATGGGTAGTTATAATTCGATGTTAATTATGTGTCGAAATTGATTAATGTAGATTCAGCTTCGTTTTCAACCGCTATTGCTGTGTTATAGTAAATTTGCCGTGCAGAAATGATGTAACATCAACGTGTACCTAAGTCCCCGGTTTGGGTTGGTGGCCGGAGCCCAATTTTCATAAAGTTGTCAACGCTTCTGTAACCTTCGGGTGTAGCAGATGTCCATGGGCGGCGGTATTCACTTACCATCAGGTGAACCGTCTGCTCGTTTGGCAACGTATACATAGCA